ACAAAAGGCCATCTTTAAGGCCCTCATTATCATTGATTCTTCATCAATTGTTCGTTACCCTTAGCCTCATCTAGACCTCGAGACCCTTCTCCAGCTAGCTCAAGGCCCTCCTCCAGCTAGCTCGAGGCCCAGCCTTGTAACCTTATTGGTTTGTATTTTTTATTTTCATCACTCACACTTAGCATCTATTGCCTTACAACTAGTGTTAAGATAAATCACGTATTTTTAGAACCACAAAATTAAATATAATTGTAGTTACCATTTTCGAGGTAAACAACAATAGCTCACAAACTACACATGAGATGTAAACTGCACTAGGCAAGCCCGATACTAACTACTTTTTTTGCCCCTCCATTTTATGTAACTTCTTCTCTTTTTTTATTATTTATTGATAATTAATTATTTGTACTATCTTATTTTTGAAATTTGAACAAAAAAAAACTTACTTGTAGGATTAATTTCAGTCGACTTAAGGTTAATATATTATTATGTTTTGGTGGTTGTGAGATACAATTATCAAAAGAGCTAACTGGGCCTAACCTCATGGGCTATAAAGTTCAAAAGCCCTGACCTAATCAGTCAATTGAATGGACTTTCAAAATGTCAGCACAAAAATCCAAGTTCTAAAAGAGTTGGTAAAACAATATCTAGCCTAACTCTAACCAACAAATTAGTTATGTTGAGCCTAATCATTTATTGTTATGTGTTAGGAAACTTTATTACTCTTAATGATCATACAACAACAACAACCCAGTATAATCTCACTTAGTGGGGTCTGGGGAGAGTATTGTGTACGCAGACCTTACCCTTACCCTAGGGTAGAGAGGCTGTTTCCAAATAGACCCCCGACATCCTTCCCTCCAAGAACATGATCATTATTACTCTTAATGATCATGTTTAGTAAATTACCCTACTTACACAAGTTTTATTTACAAAATATTTGGCTTCAAATCCAGTATATGTGGCTTCAATCAAGTGATTTAATTACACTCTTTCCTTCTTTCTCCCCTCTCTCCCTTCCTCTCTTCCTTCCTATAATACAACTTAACCCATTTGAGTTGCTGCTAAAATTTGCACATGAATTGCTGCTGAAATTGAAAAACGCTACTTCAGTTGGTCAAAATCAAATATGACCAACACCAATTTTTAACTATAACATCACAGATGGGAATAGTTGATATAGAAATATGTACTCGTTTTAATAAGAAAACCACAAGAAAAATAAATTTCTAGTCTTACTAAACTATTTTTTTTCCTCCTCTCTTCCCTTCCTCTCCAGATTTTCCATTATTTTAAACTATTTCACTGATAAAATAGTTAAGCAACTACCACCAGCTCCAGCCCTCAAGATCATCAACAGTACTATTTTGCTCCACCCCTTAAGGCTCCCCCATTATTCTGTTAATTAAACTATTAGGAATGACGAGGGAATTTATAATAATAATAATACTTGAATGCCAAATGATTTCTGCTACGTAGTTGTTTTCTCCCATGTACGATGAAAAGGGAAGGTTCCAAGAAAGAAAAGAAAAGGACTTGGAAATTTCCTAAACTTAAACAAAAATCAATCCCATCACTGTTAACAAAATTTTGACATGGGTCCATTATTTGGAAGACTGTCCTCCACGGGACAAATTATGAGCAAAATGATTGACACTGAATCTGGGATTAGAGGAAAAATCTGTATATACAAAATCTAAAATTAAAGAGTACGTACTATTATGTTTGCTTACAAGCTGAGCATATTTTTAGGATTCAAAGGAACTAATCTATAACTTTTATACATTATTTCTATACAGTTAAATACAACTACAATATTATACAACTTAAATGTAATTTTTATACAAATTTTATACAATATGTCTTTTGTATATTTTGTATCTGATTTATACATAGCAAAAACAAATTTCATACAACTAATTATATATTATACAACTTATCTACAATTTTCATACATTATTTCTACCTAGTTAAATACAACTACAATAACATACAACTTAAATACAAAATTTATACAATATGTCTTTTGTATATTTTGTATCTAATTTATACATAGTAAAAACAAATTTCATACAACTAATTATATGTTATACAACTTATCTACAATTTTTATACATTATTTCTACTCAGTTATATACAACTACAATATCAGACAACTTAAATATGATTTTTATACAATATTATTCAACTTTCATACAATAGTTAAATAAAAAATATATATAAATAACAGAATACAATTTTTCTACAATTTTACTACAACTTCGTAAATACAATTTTTCTTCTTCTTCTTCTTCGAGTTTCAATATGAAATCGGCCAAAATCAAGTCTAATCTTCACCAAAACACCTTCAAAATTGAGATATAAACTCCAAACCATATTCTCAATTGTTTGCAACAACACCCAATCCAAACAAATAATGATTTTTGAAAACCCAAATTCGAACTCAAAGCTTCAAAGCTTTTTAATGGCTGTCAATGGTGGAATTGCTGCTCTCTTTTTCTTTGCTTTACATTACTGAAATTAGGGATTGAGAGATAAGGAGAGACATAGAGAGAATCACAATTCTTTGCAATAACACTCAATTCAAACAAATAATATTTTTCGAAAACCCAAATTCGAATTAAAGGGAGACAAACGAAACAAAAAACTAAAATTTTTGTCTGACTTCGAATGTGTAGGTGACCAGCTAGATTGTGCAAAATATTGCAGTGAACTTACAAAACTTTGAACAACTAATAAATATTTTTGTTGATTGATCTTCGAACCATCAGTTAATGAACTTCAAAGCTTTTAGTTTCATAACATTAAATTAATTCAAAGTTTTTTAATGGTTGTCAATGGTGGAATTGCTGCTCTCTTGTGCAAGATACGTGGGGAGGGAGGTGGGATGTGGAGGGAGAAACGTGGGGGGAGTGGAAGATACATTAGAGTGATTTTAGGACACTAATTATTATCATTAATTCCCTTAAAATGTACATAAATAATAATTGGGTATATAAAATGTAATTATAGTAAAATTTGAATAGAGAGGATAATATAGTTCATATAGTGTATATGAATGTAAAAATCTCTATAAATGTTGATTGTTGGGAACCACACAAACCTTCTTAATTATCTTATAATAACTCCCAAATCTTTATATAACAACCTAGGCATTATTGGCCTTAATTTATATATTCGAACTTGGGAATATCGACCTTTTACAACCTTATATAAAATTTTGGAACATATGGCCTAATTTCATATTCTTATAATCAAGTCATTAAAGGGTTTCAACATTTATATGGAATTTATCAAAAAAAAAAACATTTTAAATTGTATACAATCTATCTTTCATAAAACCATAATTTGAAATTATGTAAAATTGAATACATATAATATATTTAACAAGATATTTATAAATATAAATAGTTTGCAAATCATGGTGTGATGCATAATTGTTCGCCCCCACAAATATAGTTTCGCATTTCAATTAACATTAGAAAGCATTCAAAGCCTATATTTTGAAAAAATAATCCTAATTTTGTTGAGCGTCAAATAACTCAACACGTCCCAACAAAGTCAATCTACCCCAATCATAATTTAACCATGCAATTTAGGGAGAAATTCAAAAATAGCCAGATTTACAACTGGTCGTTCAAAAATAGCCCAGTTTCAAAAGTAATCGAAATTTAGCCACTTTTCATATAAAGATAAATCTAAGCGAAAACACTGTTTAAAACCTGGAAAATACGCCAGTACATTATACTGGAGTTCCAGCATAAGTATGCTTGAACTCCAACATATTATACTGGAGTTCCAAGATAAGTATGCTGGAACTCCAGCATAATATGATGAAGTTCCAGCAAGTATAATTGTCCAGCATAATATACTGGAGTTTGGAGCACCGGTGCTTCAGTATATTGTACTGGAGTCAGCAAAGTATACCGGTCCAGCATAATATGCTGGAGTTCATACACAAGTGCACCGAATTCCAGTATATTATGCTGGACCGGTCTCTATTGCAGCAAAATAGTGACTATTTTTCATTGATTTCGTAAACGCTGGCTATTTTTGAATGACCAGCTCAAAAACTGGCTATACCGCGCTATTTTTACTGCAATTTATGGCTCAATTTATCCAATTCAACACTTGGGTATTGGCCTTAAGCCACTCAAATGCCTATACTCACCCAAAGCATTACCACTTTATTCATGGGTGCGGCTATCTATACCATTTATGGTTTTGCAAGATATCTACATACACCTAACCACTATTCTTTTTCTCTAATAATACCCAACAACCTCCATTGATACCCTCAAGCTATGATTCATCCATAATTTCACTGGAGTCGTAAGTAGGTATTCATGAATCAGTTTGACTCGATTTTTACCAAAACCAAAATACAAACTAACTCTTATCTAATTGATATTAAGTACTAAATGCTTAGATCTCAGTATGATTATGATTGTCCAAGTTGGAGAAAACTATGCTATGGAAGATTTTTAAAGTAGAGTGATCTTTCATAAGCAAGAAATTGCAACTGTTTTTTGCAAGCATTTTACTGGTGAAACATTTTTGTCCTTTAAGGAGGTTGGAAAAGAAAGTAACAAGGAAATTAGTGAAGCTGTTGGAAAAGCTATAAGTCAGGTTCAAAGGTTGACAGATTTTTATTATCATTTGGGTAAAAAAATTCAAGAGAAGGTTCTTAGTGATAAGAATGATAAGTTGCCGAGAAAAGTTTGTTTTGCCTTACGTTGCATGTATAGTAACAGGAAAATGAGTATGCTAGGCCAAGACTTTCCAGCCTTCTTCCACCTACAATGATACTATTAAATCCTTTCCCTTTTTCACAAAAATTCACCTACACCATTTTCATTGAGAATCATTGTGATTCTTGTTCAATTTTTAGATTTTGTATAGAGTAGTTAATTAGCTGGCTTATGAGATTTAAAGTCACTTTTAGACAACTCAACAAGTTCCCCACTAATAATAACTGAAACGATGACGGAAAAAATACATTGACGAAATCCTTCCATATATATTTTTCAACTAATGGGTAACATTAAAAATGTTCAAATATATATCACAAACATCTTGGACAAGAAAGCTACATTTTTTACCCCTGCTTTAGGTACTGTCTTATTTGATTTAACATGGTTAAGACTAGTAATTAAATTCATCTTCCCCTCCCACCCATGACTATATCATGGGCCTTTACTTTTGCTACCAACAATGCCTTAGAAAGTGCAGAGCGGTTACCTATAAAACTTGCTTTGGGAATAGCAGTTCAGTTGTGAGGTTTTAGCTTGTCTCGGAAATCTCCAGCTACCAGCCATAGAAGAGCTCCTTAGAGAATCGGGTCTATAATACCTGATGACAAACAGATTTTGCGCCCCCCAGGCGGGGCAGGTTGGTGAGAGCTAAATAGAAAAGGATATCACCTGTGCATATTCATCTTCTAATCATGGGTGTTTGCTTGGATGCAAAACCGTCACTCTTTCTAAAGCTGTATGAGAATATGGTAAGAGTAAAATAAAGATACTGTGGTTTCCATAAACAAAGCTAAAACCACGTTGACGCTATTTACAATTTGTGAATGTTAAACTTAGTTTTGACAACTTTACAAGCTTTTTCATCCAGGAGATTGATGTAGCTCAGAAGTATCCCTCCATTAGGACCAGAAAATTGAGTTGCAAGATTGTAAACTCAGAAATGAAGCCTGGATTAGGTTTTGCTAGTTTGGTATATATGTATTAGCAAATCACACAAGAAAGAAGACAATTCACAAATTTGTAGTCAGAATCAATCACTGAAATAGAACATATTTACCACTACATTTGAGAAAAATGAAAGAAACTCTATCAGGGTTTTAACTTGCACGTTATGTGAATGCGGCAAACTAGCAATAGAACTTGGAAGAGCATTGTCAAATGTATTTCTCTGCAAAGTAAAGAAAGAAGAGAAATCAAATGCAACAGCTTCATTGTAACTAATTACTTTCAAAATTTATTTACGAGAGAAAAACTAAAAAAGCATGGTTGCAACACATTATTAGGCCCAGTAGCAAAGAGTTCCATATAATAATGCTCAGTTATAATAGTTGCCAAAACATAAACCATCCAACAACGAACAACAACAACCCAGTATAATCCCACTTAGTGGGGTCTGGGGAGGGTAATGTGTACGCAGACCTTACCCCTACCCTTGGGTAGAGAGGCTGTTTCCAAATAGACCCCCGGCATCCTTCCCTCCAAAAACTTCCCACCTTGCTCTTGGGGAGACCCGAACTCACAACCTCTTGGTTGGAAGTGGAGGTTGCTTACCATCAGAGCAACCCCTCTTGTCTAAACAAAGCTGACACATCCTCTGAAATCCACAGAAGCAATTCCAAAAGATTTTAAAGAGATTGTAGCTACAAGGTTTCTGGACTCTCTATTCTTTGCAGTTCTTACTAAATTATGTCCCCTAATAAATTTTTCTCATCAGGTTCTGAAAAATTATAAGAAAGCTTAATAAAACCAAGGCCTCTCAGTTGAAATCCAAGAGAGAATTATCTACCGTACATAAAACACTTCTTCGGCTAACTCAATTTGTTACAAATTAGTATACGTAAGCAAGAAAACTCCATAAAGATTTATAAGAATCGCCTAGGCGTATTTGAGTTATGCCAGATCCTGCTTATCATAGATATCTCTTCATTGCGCATTACTGAGTTCGTTGTTCCCTAACATAAGGTCCTTTAATTTCTTTCAACAAACCACTGTATACATGTGAGAAAGCCAAAAAAAATGTAGACTTCAATAGAAAAGGAGATGTGGTCAGCAAGACTGGATAATGATGCATTTTACCCCTCACTAAAATTAGGCAATGGCATAATTCTCAACACAAACAAATATTAAATACAGAAAAGCTCAAGTCTTATGCAGACATGAAACCAATACTAAAAACTATGCCTCTATACCAATACTGGCGCATGTTCACTCTATATATATTCATACAAATATTTTTAATGCCAATATATGTTATGCTGAACTGAATCTAAAGAAAGAAACTATACCAATACTGGCGCATGTTCACTCTATATATATTCATACAAATATTTTTAATGCCAATATATGTTATGCTGAACTGAATCCAAAGAAAGAAACTATACCAATACTGGCACATGTCCACTCTCCATCAAAGTGCTAGATGACCCGGCTGAATCTACGCTCCAAACAGATTTGTTCAGTTGTTGGACTTGCTTGGATGCCCTACAAATTATAAAACCGAATCACTGAATACGGGCCACTGCTGGATAATCAGAGGCTTCAATGCCATGATAAATAAATTTCTTTCATTATATAGTATTGAGCACAGATCTATAATTATGATACATAAATAAAGGAAATACGCACCTTGAACCAGACATGTTCAAAGAAAACACAGATCGAACTTCCTTTGAAGAAGAAAGTGTAGCCAACAATCTTGCAAATGTTTCGAAAGTAGAGGCTTCGGCAGGAACTTCTAAACATAATGTGTTGTAACAGTATGCAATAATGCAGGCAACCCTTTTCTTGAGAAGTGCTATGCCTTTCTGCAGATCCTTGTGTGATTCTATCGAGTGCAGGGAAGCAGAAGCACAGTTGAAACTACTACTACTAGAAGAATCCAACCGAGGTTTTCTATCAGATTCCATTGAGGTAACTCCAAAGTCACTTGAACTTCCAGAATTACTGCAACTTCTGTTGTACCATGAAGCTTCCCCACCATACGAGCAAAAGTTTTGGCGTGGAATAAAAAGTGGATACTCGCTACTGCAATGCATGACTAACAGATTGTGCCGGGTCAGCTCACCTCGACTCTATTCCACTGAATACATGTTACCTTTAACCAGCACAAATACAGATAATTCTATCCATCACGAATAAGGCATATGGGAAGAAATCATCATTTTTTTGTCGCTGCTAGAATTTGTAGCTCGGTTTCCAAATAGTATAGTTACTTCATTGATTACTAAACCACTCTTTTGGGTGCATCTTTCTTTGCTTACTATTGAAGAGGTGACTAATAATGTTATGTATTTGAAAAAAGCCTAAAACCAAAATAACACTCTACGACTTCTCATTTGCTTATGGGAAGATAGATAAAAGCAGAATGCAAAATTGCCTGGTACTCAACTGGACTGAAAAATGTCAAAGATAAATACATGTAGAAACTTTAATAGTTGGACAAAAAGTCTAAAGTGCTAAATTGCTTACTTGGAGAACATTTTATGATTACTGTAATATAAGTGTTGTGAAATGCATTCAGTTCCCTTAAAAACACAGCCATAAATTTATTCAAGAGAATGCTATCTCCTAAAACTGAAGTAACTATTGGGATATCAAACCCCTTGGTCTCAGGCTTGTCACCCAAAATCTTTAAAAAAGAATTGTATTTTACAAGATACTGTCATGCATAACCACATCAGGCACGTGATAACACCAGGAATCCAGGATGAGAGATACAAGAGATACAGGCAACAACCGAGCGAGCAACGGAGAATGAAAAACTAGACATATGTTTCTGTTGATAACCTCCATAATCTGTAGAATACAATCCTTGCATCAAGACAATATCACCCTTTCACAACTAGGGTTATTGTCTTCAGGTAATAGATTTGACTTCGCCAAATGGAAGTGCAAGAATCATTTGAAAAGTTCAAAACTATCATGATGTTTTCTCAAGAATGATGCACCAATTTGATTTGTCATAGAATCTATCAACGAGAATGGCATTATCCAGACCAGACACCAACCTATGGAAGAACAGAACATGTCAATTAGTGCATTATCCAGACCAGACACCAAACTATCGAAGAACAGAACATGTCAATTAGTGCAGCTCATTGTTACAAATTGGTCAAACTTCTAATTTTGCGAAACTACATAACAGAGAAGTACTGCCTCATCTTGCCGCTCCCCACCCCAAATACTCAAAAGCCTTTCCCTTCAGTCCATTGGGGGGGGGGGTGTATGAAAGAAGCAATAAAAGAACTTTAGAAATGACTCAGAGACAAACAAGCACAAGCCCTGCAATAAGGGAAAAAGAACCTATTTTTACTTATCAAGAAAAACTGATCAACTGGATTTGTTTTGTTTCGTTCATTCATCTATATGCATGCACTTCAGTTTATTGGGAGAGAACAGTAACACATCAAAATTACTTCTGAATAAGGATGAAAGAGACTCCTAGCATCGCATATAATGAGATAATCAGAACTCTAAAACTCATTGCTCTTTTGAGGTCAATACAATTTCAAAAGCTCACATGTGACCTCCCAAATATCATATGTTTTTAAGAGATTCAAACTCTATGAACATGTTATTGCCAGAGCATTGATTGTACACTAAATTTCTACTCAAAGAATGACACAAACTGTTTACACTTTCCTAGCCACAAAAAAAAACATAATGGATCATAATCAATTGCGAGAAGTGTAACGACATTCAGTCATCATGTTATAGATTATGAAATTTAACAACCATGATAAGCATTTGTTAACATATAGCGACTTGACAGAATGAAATTGGTCAAACAAGAAAATTAGGGGAAATTCTTTACTTTTCTTATATAAAATAAAAAACGAATTACCTTTCAAGTTCACCTTCACTAAAAACATGGTAATATCTATTATACACCACAGAGCCCTTCTTATCATCTTTCTTTGCCAAACCACTAGCTAAGGCAACAGCTGAAGCCCCACTTACTTCAGCTCGATGATAAGGTAAGTGCCAAGGAACAAAGAATTCCTGTTGCTCTGCATAACCTTTTCCAGATCCAGTAAGCAAAGAACGGCCTTTATCCTGAGAGGTTGAGTCCATAACTTCATCTGATTTTACTTTTGAAGACTTTGCATGTAGGTCTTTCAACTGCTCCCCAGCACCATTTTCCTCTGCTTCTGGGATGCTTTCAAGGGTGCGAGGAGATGAAGGGTTGCGAACTCGAGGACTTCCTGGTCCTATCCACTCTGCTATATACCTTTGGTTAAGTGGTGTCCATTTTTCAACTAACGACGTATCTTCTTGTTCCCGGGCCCAGACAGTAATTAAAATACACCCACCCTTTTTAACAACACGGACGAGCTCCTCCACCGCTTTCCTCCTCCTATCTTCAGTACTTAAGTGATGCAACACAGCAATAGAAATCGCTGCATCACCATAACCAGTCCTATATGGTAGGTTCACAGCGTCTGCAACCAAAACTTCATGTCCTCTATCTGCACATATATTAATAAGAGCAGCACTAATGTCACAGCCAATAAAGAAACAATCAGGATTTAACCCTAAGTATTTTCCATTTCCACATCCAGCATCTAAGATGAGTGAACCGGGAGATAATGAGTTCAAGAAAGCTGACACTTTAGGCCACTTTGCAAACCGAGTGGAACTGAAATGGGGAGCAATGGCATCATAAACACCATGGACATACTTCTTTTCGATTTCTGGGGTTGATTGAACATTTGAAGAACATTTTGCTCTGACAGACACAGGACGTAGAACTGGAGCCTCTCCCACATATTCTGATGTAAGCAAACTCGAGGCATTATCAGTTACAACTTCTTTCATTGTACTAAAACTTCTTCTACTGAAAATATTACCAACTATAATAGTAGAGTTAATATACACTCCTTTGAAACAAAATGAACTTGCCGTTCCAACACCAAAGAGCATCAGCTACAGAAATAGTACATGACAATAACCTGTTCAGACAAACGAAGAAAAGCAATAGCAACTGAGGTTCACAACAAAGAAATTTTCTTTTTGTTTCAACCAAGTAATCTTTCAATACATAAATGGAATATTTTCTTCACTCGGCTTACACTCTTAATATAATTAAAGCACCTTTCTTTCTTTTTGTTTCTTTTCATTTCTAAGTTTGAAACCTATACAAAAACATTCTAATCCATGACATAATAACATCTAACTCAAAGGACCTACTGCATACACTAACAGTAACTAGGATAGGATTTAACCTAATGGAGCAATTCGGGTTAAAGTAATAAGGATTAGAAAAGGGTATTTCTCTATTAAATTGACTTAAAGTTAAAACTGTAACGAGAAAAGAAAATCCCTTTTAGTACATTAGGATGATTTGGTGGATATATTGAACTTAAGACTTAAGTCCCAAAAACTAGAACTCCTAATTCTATCATAAATATTTATCTTTAATGAAATTAAACATACAAAAATCATTGTAAGTCAATTGCTAAATTACTTGGGAACAAGGGAATTTAGGGTTATTACACAGAAATGAGAAAGAGAAATTAGGAACTTACACAGCTGGGGATATTGGCCGGAGAAAGAGAGGAGAGAAGCAAGCGGTGGTGGTAATTCAATCGATCTATTGTGGCGTTTTTTGAAATTGGCGGGCCGAATATCCACTACTTGAGCTTTTTAGTCTCAACTGGGTTGCTATTCTAAGCATTCTATCTTAATCTACTAACAATGAAAACCCTAATTCAATTGATTTTAGTAATTTTTAGCAATGACTTGAATAATATATACATACTTCTATATTTTTTTTCACAAAAATAAAAATAAAATGTCATCTCATCATATTGTGACAATGATTATATCTTCGTTTTTAATGGGGTCAATATTTGCTAGGTGGGGTTTGGGAATTTGTTTCATCCTCTTTTAAAAATGTTTGAAAAGTAAAACCTACTTATAAAAAGAAAAACTTTACTGTATATTTTATCATTTGTGTCCATTTTTTTTCTTTTTGCTGTTGCACATTCACCAAAGTTCCAAACTTTTTAAGTGCAAAAGCTGGTCTAATGTCATTTTCGTTAAATAAGTACTCCTACGGTCCTACTACCTAATAAGTAGTTCAATGACTTTCAATGTTATTCTTGTTAAATAATGATAACCAATTACTTCATTATTTTTTACAGAGACCGCAGTTGACGCGAGCGAGGATTTCGTTAATTAGAGCATACGAGTTGTCACACCTCCTTTTTCCAAAGAATAGGGAGTTTTTCCAGTTAAAGTGACATTATTCGAAATGCGATTATTTATTTAATTAGAGTCGCCACTTGGAATAATTTATGATGTCCCAAGTCACCGGTTTATTTTAAATCCCAAATCGAGGAAATTTGAATCTGTTTTAAAGTCCGTGAAACCAGAAAACCTGATAAGAAATTTTGTTAACCCGGGAGAAGATATGAGGCCCTCCCGAGTTATGTGGTTTTGGCACGGTAACTCAACTATTAATAATTGGCCTAATTATCTTATTTATTACATGTTTAAACCTATTGTGCATTTTTACTTTCTAACCGCTTTTAATAGAATTTTAATTGCTTTTAGGATATATGGGATTTGTTTGAACAAGTCACGTTGTCGGGCACTCATTTGTTTTTTGTACATATTGTGAATCACGTCACGTAAAACGCACCCGCGATCTGCATCATGTTGATTTTAATTATTATTTGAAGTTGAGGTCGAGTCACGTGAATCGTTCACTCGAATTGGGGGGTATGTATCATGACTGTGACTCGGGAACCATACCCATAGCCACGATGATTTATGAATCGCGCCTAAAGAATACTACGATGTTTATGAATTATTTGATTTTCTTTCCTAGGTTTGAGATTATTAAAGGTCACACATTATGGAGAAGGAATTGTTGGAGTCAAAACTTGATTCATTCATAATGACTAAAGAGCTAAGTACAATTAATTCACGTCAAGAGTTTAGGATGATTGCCATGCCAAATCAAGTAAACTGTTTGGCATGAAACACACTGCTCCCAGACATGACACTAATATTCAGCCAAAGTTCAAAATTCACCCATATTCACAAATGATCAATTCATTAAATGCTATGATCACAGAAGGAAAATCTGAGCAGATTTGCAGCCATTATATAAGGATTCGATTATCCCCAAGCGAGAACAATGCGTTTCGACTAAAATGATCAACCAATTCACAGTAGGATTCCTAATCGAGAAGACAGATTTTAATTTATTCATGTTATGTTTCAAATTGTTTCATTGCCTTCAAACAAACTCCAAATTGGACTAGCAAAAATCAGGCATTGAGCAGTTCTAGAAAAATGAAATAAGGATTCGGCCATTTTAATCATTAAATAAAAGCATAATACAAGGGAGTTTGAAAACTAACCTGGTGGAACAAAGAAACCTCGAATAAACGGACTAAAGGCAGAGGCAAACTCGACCGAAGCTCAGCAGTTCCCGAAATAGTAAAATCAGCGGAATCGAACAGAGATTTGAGTTTAAAACAAACTCTCAGCTCCGAAACAAGCTCTACAGCTCCAATAAGCTCCGAAATCCCCAGAAAATGTGAGAGAAGACAAGGATTGAAACTCAAAATCAGCTTTGCAATTTTTGAATTTTAGCTCTAAACTTTGTAACTTCAGCGTGTGTGTGTCAAGGAAGAGTGTGTATGAGCGAGAGAGTGACGAAGGGGAGGCGGGCAGCTTGGTTTCTATGGGGTGACGGCTAGGGTTCAGAAAAATCGGGGGAGGGATCCGTCTCTTGAGAATGAAAGAAAGGAGTTGTTTAAACCAAACGACGTAGTTTGGCCGGAAACTGCGTCGTTCGGAGGTGGGTGGGTGGATATTATTGGACCGGATATTTGGATGGGTGTGGGTATTTGAGACATTGGGCCATCGATTTTTTGGGCCCAAATTAATGTGCAGAGGAGGCAAGTCCAGCTCTTTTCTTTCTTTTCAATTCAATATTAAATTTTTGCAAACTCTAGCCATTTTAGACTCAAACTTTAATTGAATCTAATTTTTGTATGGCTACAATATTTATTTATTTTACCTATGATGGACTAATATAACTAATTAACTAATTAACTAACCTAAAATGCAATTTGCGATTTTGTATTTAACTAATGCATCTAATGATGAAATTAAATCCTAAAAATGCAACTAAAGTGTTAGAATGCAACAAAACAAAAGAAAAAATATTTTGTGACATTTTGTGATTTAAGCTACTCCTAATTAGGATTAAAAAAAATGCAAAAATGTAATATATTGCAAAAAATAAATAGAGAAAATTTCTCTAACAATCCTACAAAATTCTAAAACAAGTAGAAAACTATTTTTGACCTTTTCAGGAGCGATTTTATACGTCGGGCAAAATTTACGTGCCCACAGTATTCGTTACTCAAAAGTCACTTTTATTTCTTTTGTTACACAAAAAATATTTTATTTTGCTCTAGGTACCACAAATGTCACCTTGGCCAAATTTTATAATACTTTTACTTGAAAGTCTATTTTACCCTTGTTCATTACTTGAGTAATGAACACAAAGTTGAATGACGTAATAAAAAAAAGGAAAATAATTTTTGATTAATGAACACAAAATTGAATGATTACCCATAAAAATTACTCATTAATATGGTAAAGTTCAAAGCATTTGTGTTTTTTTTATTCGTGGGAGAGTCGTCTTTTTTGGTTTCTTCCCCCTCGTTATAAGACATTAATTATGAATGGAGAATTGGAGATCACCAAAAATCTTGCATCTACTTATTTTGAAAATAGTGGGTATATATGTGTATTAAATTCTATAGTTTGAACAGGAAACTTGGGTGACTTAGCACATCAGCATCTCCCTCCCAATATTTTGAAAACTGAGTTTCGCATTCATTGTTATACTTGTACAGGTATCGAGCATTTTGGTAGTCTATTATTTATTGTTAAATAGTCATAGTAGTACTTCTTTTGATAACTGAGTTGGCATTCACATAGCTAGTATTTTGTTTAAAATTACTTGAGTTCTTATGTGATTTAAAAAAATATTTAACAATTACTTCATAGAAGAACCCAACTGTAGGTAAGTAATTATATTGCATATATGCGTTGCCAATCTAAAAAATAAGTTGAATAGCATATTAGAATCGGCCAATATATAGAACGTTGAGTTTGGCATAATCGTTGGTTATCGATGGGTATAAAGATTCTGTTGAAAGGTTGAATTTCGAGTGAAAATTTCGCTTTTTTTTTCCAACCGTTTAGTAAATGATTTGTTATTTCTTTTGAAACTGATGGATCATTTAGACCAAAATACATTAGGCCACCAAAAATTTAATAAATCATCGCAAACGTAATGTCACAGTCAAATATTTTATGAGCAATTGAGCAATATTAGACCCCAGTCTAACATTATTTGGAAGGGTAATTTTTAAAGGTTATATTTGCACAATTTTTTTTATAATAGGGACAAAATCTAAACAGTGGCCTAAAAAAGGACTCTTACGTAAATCAGCCGAATCCTGAATAGCATTGTCTATGGGCCGATTTAGACTGAATATCTTGAACCAGAGCCCACCAATGTATTCAAGTCCAAGCCTAGTCCAATAGAAGACTAATCAAATTATGTTCATGGGCTGGGTATTTAAGATTAGTTACCTCCTGTAGCAAAGGTTTATATCTAATTTATTTTAAATAAATATTCTTTTAAAAAATTATATTTCATAGCTATCTTTTAATTTTTCATAGCCAAATATCTATTTATAGTCATCTCCTATCTTTAAGCCATAAAATAAATATTGTATTATTTTTTCTCTCCCATCAAATTCTAATAACCACTAAACACCGAGGAAGATGAAAGGGAAGGGGAATATGTTGTATCTAAAGTATTTTATCAGCAGCAGCAGATCAAGCGAGGTGAAAAAATTGAACAAGAATTGACCTAGGAGTTTGAATGTCTGGTTGCTAAAGTAGATCCACATACCCCCAAGTCTATGACTCCTGACCCCCTCGTGGCGAGAGGCTATTTTCAACTATGATTTCTATGCCTATATCGTGTGATGCCTCCGATTTCTAGTTGTGTGCTAGGGTTTCCCCATTTTTTTCATTTGTTCTAATGAGTTACAGGGATATTCGGTGAAGAGAAAGAGAGAGAGAAAGGTGAAAGAGTTGAAGATTTTTGCTCAACGGGGATTCGCCGGAAATTAGGGTTTGTTCTTGAACAAAGACGACGGAGTTTGGGGCTGAGCAACTTGATTTTCTGTTAATATATTTCAATGTATTTTCAACGTACCACGCTGTATTTTCATGTATTTCATTGTATTCATTGTCTTTTTTTTCATACCACGTTGTATTTTCATGTATTTCATTGTTTTCATTGTCTTTTTTTCATTGTAATTCAATGTATCTCATTGTATTCCATGTATTTCATTGTTTTCATTGTCTTTTTTTCATTGTAATTCAATGTATCTCATTGTATTCCATGTATTTCATTGTATTCACTATATTTTTTCATTGTATTTTAATGTATCTCGCTGTATTATATGCATTTCATTGTATTCACTGTCTCACTATATGCCATGAATGTATTCATATATTTTTTTTAATTAATATAATTTAAATATTCAGATGTATTATATGATTTTTCTGAAGATTGTTATGTTTTGGGGGTATTTTTCGGTTGAGAATCTTTTTTTTAAGTGGAAATACAAAATTTGTGTGTTATAATTGAGTTTGTTGAGTTATATTAGGAGTCTATTATGTTAATTGATTCACTTTTCGTTTAAAAATAGTGTAATCCCTTGTTTCACACCGTGAATATAGTTGAATACAATAATCTGTCCAGCTGTAATTCCATGTTTTATGCCATAAATACAGTCGAATACACTCGAATACAACAACTGAATAGCGGGACTTCCGTGATTCACGCCTATTTTTGCTACTGTATTCATGAATACATTAGCTTAATGTGATGACCCGATCGGTCGTCTTAAGAATTAACACCATGATCCCCTATTAACTGCTTTCTCCAAGTTTATCTCTGCTAATGTGATTTGCCGGGATGTTTGGTTTTGAGTTTCGGGGAGTTTTGGGACACCTAGTCCCTAAATGAGAGCTTAAGTGTTGGAAAGTTGACCGTAGTCAGAATAGTGTAAAGACGGCCTCGTAATGGAAATCTGATCGTTCCGTTAGCTCCATTTGGGTGATTTTAGGGTTAGGAGCGTGTTCGGATTGTCTTTTGGAGGTCCGTAGCTAATTTAGGCTTGAAATGCTGAAAGTTGAATTTTGGAAGTTTCCGGTTCGATAGTGAGATTTTGATCCGAGGGTCGGAATGGAATTTCGAGAGTTGCAGTAGTTCCGTTATGTCATTTGGGATGTGTGTTCAAAATTTTAGGTCATTCGGACGTGTTTTGGTTGAGTTTTTGATTGAAAGCGGAATTCGGAATATTTTAGAAACTTAGGCTTGAATCCGATGTGTTTTGGGTGTTTTGATGTTGTTTAAAGTGTTTTGAAGACTTGTACAAGTTTGAATAAGGTTCGAGGATATGTTGATGCCTTTGGTTGAGGTCCCGGGGGCCTCGGAATGAATTCAGATAGTTGACGGAGGAAATTTTTGGAGTGAAGTTGTTGCAGGAGTTATTCTTATGGTATTTTTTGCATCTGCGGTTTGGGGATCGCAGATGCGGAGCCGCAGAAGCGGCGTATAGGACCGCAGAAGCGAATTTGGGATTTTCCTCAGCAACCGCAGATGCGGTGAAATGTCCGCAGAAGCGGAACCACTCCTGCGGTTAGAGTTCTGCAGATGCGGAAGTTGGGTCCTTAAGTGAAAGTCGCAGATGCGACACTTGTTCCGCAGATGCGGTCCTAGGCCGCAAATGCGGAAATCGCTGGGCAGAACATATAAATAGTTGCCTTCGCGAATTTGAGGGATCCTTTCACCATTTTCATCCGAGTTTGAAGCTTTTGAGAGAGATTTTTAAGGAAAAACAAAGGGGAATCGCTTTGAGCTAACATTCTTGACTTCATAACTCGTTTTTATGTGATTAAAGACCTAATTAGTGGTGAGAAATTTGGGAGAAATGGGTAATTAGGGCTTGAGTTTAAAAGGCCTTTAAATGAGGATTTGAGGGGACATTTGGACTCTGATTTTAGTGTTCTTGTTATGTATAGACTCGTGAGAGTACGAGGTTTCTATAAATATAAATTTCACCTAATTCCGAGATGTGTGCCTGAGGGGAATTTTGGTCATTATGCATAATTTCGCGTATTAGCTTAGAATTTAATTGTAGAATCAGTTACTTGAAGTGTTATGTACATTATACAAATGAGTTGAATAGATTTGGGTTATTTGGAGCCGAGTACTCGTGGCCAAGACGTGGTGTCAGGTTTATTTTGAGCCGGTTTGAGGTAAGTGGCTTGTCTAACCTTGTGTGGGGGCCTTCCCCTTAGGATATGATATATTTGGTAATTGAAATACCTTGTACGTGAGGTGACGAGTGCGTACTTGAGCTAATTGTTAAAAATCCGGTTTTACTTTGAGTATTTCAGTTGAGTTCCTTTTTCCTACTTTATTCTACTTGCGAATTTAGCCTGTTATAGTTTAGAAAAGCATGTTTAGTTGATTTAATTACCTATTTGCTTAAACTGCCTTAATTGCATTACGCGAAGTATGTTAGGCTAGCATTAATTGTTTACTTGGTACTAAATTTTGCATTTAATTGAGTATTCTTGTGTTGCTTCTATGTGTTTTAATTTGGGACTAC